GAGCCTCCCTGCTCCATCAACTAAAGGCTGAAACAGAGAAACTGGTCTTGAAGATGTCAGGCCTGGGATTCATGTGTGTTTAAAGTCAGCGGTATCTCTGGAATTTCGAGTTGCATACCACATTGCATAGATCCGAGAATAGGTCTGTTTGCCCTAAGGAGATGGGTTGACTCAGCATTCTCCTCATTGTTGTCAAGAGTGTACTTGCCCAGTCACTGCCCTCAGTAGAACTTTATCTAGATATCATTGGTATTTCTTGAAGAATTCCTAGACCTAACATTAAAGCAACTGCAGGCATGGGGGAGACTTTTATTTCCTTTGGGTATTTTTTTTCCTTCTCATCCAGGATCAGGAAGTTTTCCAGCTTCCTACCTGAGCCCTTCAACACCATGGGCAACACAGAGGCAGCTTCTGGCTCAAATGCACACTTGTCTTCCTAAACAGCCAGGAATCTGGACAGTCAGTCCCTTACCCTATCTTCCTGCTTGAACATCTGTGGGTGGGACTTGTTGGGAAAAGGAAAAATATCCACCTTCACCAGTAGCAAAAAGGCACCCAATTCCTCCCCCTCCTACTAAACTTCTTACTCAAGGTGAGAGGAGAGTCATTTGCCCGGATTGAAGAACAGGAGGAACAAAACAGCCTCAGCATTGTTTCTTGAATTTTCTGGACTTCTTCCTAAGAGCTGTTAACACAGTCAAATCGTCTCACCCTTGCTACTGGCCAGCAACAAGCTTCCAGAAATCAAAGCCGCCCTGGGGAGAAACAGGAGAAATGGAAGGCTCTTTAGACCATTGGTGACAGCGGATATTTAGTCTTTAAATAATTAAGGATATACCATTTGTACAATATTAAGGAAGGCTCTAATCTACATTTATGTTAGAGCATGTCATTACTATTTTACAAAATTAAATTTTTATCATGATAGCGATGGACGTTTCTGCCAAGAAGTTTTACTTATTGGTAGATTAGATATTAAAATAAGGGAGATGATGAATTATGGAATACTAGATGCTGAATATTTAATAAACCAATCCCACGTTGCTAGTGTAAGTTTCCGAAAGAATGCCTGTTGCATCCTAACATGGAATCAATACTAGTTAATGACAATGGCCTGAGGACAAGTAGATGCCTAACTGGTTCACAGTCCAAGTTAGAAGCTCAGAGGAACCACGCTCAGATTTAAAATCATTCTAAAATAGACTGCTGTAGTTGAACTGCTGGTAATTTTCCAGAAGTTAGAGGAAAGGAAAGACGATTGACACATTTTGTTGAAATAGGAGCGGCGGCGGGGCTGCGTTCCCAACACCCCAGCCGCTTGGCTAGCTCATGCCCGAAATAACAACACACAAACTGTATTCATTTAAGAACTGCTTGGCCCATGAACTCTAGCCCTTACAGGCTAATTCTCGCACCTGGACTAGCCCATTTCTAATAATGCGTGTAAGCACCCCAAGGTGCGCTTACCGGGAAGATTCTAGCCTCCGTCCATGATGTCTCTGCTCCAGAGCGCAGAGTTGTCTGGTCTCTCCAGGAGCAGAGCAGAGTCTGACCTCACTTCCTCTTCCACCCAGCATCCTATTCTGTTTCCTCTTCCCATCTATGTTCTAAGCTATGAGGCCAAGCAGTTGGTTTATTATAATTAACTAATTACCTTCCTCCATCAACATTTGCCAGTTGATTCTTTAGTAGTCCCTGGGCCTTAATTTTGGCTCTAGATTATTGGATTCTGTTTATAGGTCCAGTTATTTTTCTTTCACGTTTTTATATAACCCTGAATGGTACCAGTTTTCTCCTCCTCCCCTTCCTCCCCTTCCTCCTCTTCTTCCACTTCTTCTTCGTGCTGTGAAATGATTCTGACTCCCAAATTTATACTGCCTCTAACAGGAGGAAGAGGAGGGAAAGAAAACAAAGAGACAGGGAGGGGGGTTGGAATAAATGAAGGGATGAAGAAAACAAGGAATAGGATGTTGAAAAAATCGAGAAACAACAAGAGGGAAAGTCAAGAAAGGATGAGGGGGAGAGATAAGAAGAAAGGGGTTGAAGAGATGGAGAGGATGAGAATGAATAAGAATGTGTTATTTGGAGATGGCAGCTGGGCTCCAACATTTTTACGTCTGATAAGGAATGCATACACGAGTATGTGGTTCATGATGGGAGGCCCTTGTGTTTGGAGAACAGCAAAAGAAATGCTATGCAATCCTTGATTAAGCCAGAAATTCTTGGTTCATCAATTATGAGCATGATACAATGTAAGTACAGTTTTAAATTTATTTAAACTAGATTGACATATAGATGAAAAAACGAATTTTCAGCCATCTTAAATGCTTGTCTCTTAGCTTTGATAGAGAGAGATTTGGTAGGGGCTGGAGAGATGGCTCAGGGGTTAAGAACACTAGCTGCCTTTCCAGAGGACCCAAGTTCAGTGCCCAGCACTCACCATTCTCAGCTGTCTTTAACTCCATTTCCAGGGGGAGAGAGAGAGAGAGAGAGAGAGAGAGAGAGAGAGAGAGAGAGAGAGAGAGAGAGAAGTGTGTGGTGCTGATGGTGCATGCTGTGGCCTTGGAAGATCCTGAGATAGGGCTCTCCTGGGAACTAAGCACAAGCCCCTGGCTATTAGCTAGGATGGGAATGGAAGGATGAGAAGGTGGACCTCTTTCCCATGTATGTAACTGATGTGGAAAGAGCAATCTTAATTATGGGTGGGAACCTTCTCTCTGTGTGTCTCTGTCTGACTGTGTGTGTGTGTGTGTGTGTGCGTGCATGTGCATGTGCATGTGTGTGTGCTGTTTTCCTAGACTGTATAAAACACAGAGGGTAACCTCATGCTTACATTCTTTGCTCTCTGGGATGATGGATATGATGTGAGCAGATTCCTTAAGTTTTTGTTGCTGTGACTTCCCTGTTATGATGACTATGACCTGGAACTGTGAGCAGAAATAAACTAAGTAGCTCCTGTCAGAGTGTTTTATCACATCAGTGGGAAGGAAACTAAGACACACTAATTGGTTTTTTCCTTGGTTGAACTTTGCTGTCCCAGTCAATTCTTCCTAGGAGAAGTTTCAGGGGTCTGAAATTTAGGGCTGGGGTGTAGCATGCTTGCCTGGGAGGCCCCGAATTTGATCTTCAGCATGTGCAGAGGGCCGAAGAGGGACTAATGTACCCAGAAGGAAGTACTATAAGCGGCAGCCTTTATTGGTATGATGCTGTTTGAGGTAAACTGTAGAAACTAGCGTATTTTGATGACCTGTGACTTCACTTTTGTAAACCATTGTAGGCCTCTGCCTGAAAAGTTTATTTACAGCCGGAAGGAATTCTGCTGATGGGGAACCTCCTTCTCAATGGCCTTTGAGAGGCTGGAGGGCGTGGCTTGGGTACCAAAGAGTTGTGGGGCGCTTGCAAGCTTTCTCTCTCTCTCTCTCCCTCTCTCTGCTCCCTGCTCTTACACCTGGATGCTGGTTTTTGTTTCTGTCCCCCATTGTGATCTGTGAGTCCCCCCTTAAATAAAGAACCCCTTATTATCCCCTATTGGAGCCAGTGTGGGATTACTTCATCTTGCATGTTCCCCTTCATCTGGAACGTTCCCCTTCATTCTGTATGAGTTCCAAACCAAACCATCATCACTGATCACACACAAAACCTCCCTAACAGTTTTCTGATTAAGACTGTTACATTTTGTGTTAAATATGGTTAGAGGTCTTGTCTCAATGGTGCTGTTTTGTGACCCTGCTTGAGAAGAGACACTTTATAGAACTGGTATGCTTGCACCTTCTTTTTGAGCCTTTTGTAAGGCATTTTGGGAAAGGGGGAAAAAGGAAAACATGATCAAAATATATTCATCAGAAAGACCTATGGTTTGAAATTTCTCTTGAAAATGGTGTATTTAGAGAGCTACACACATTAGATCAACATATTTTTTTTCACACAATAAAGGCAAAGCCCAGTTGCAATAATAATAGCAGTAGTTGAAATTGAGGGCTGAACGCCTATAATGTGTTCCATCACAAAGACCCGCAAAGCACTGTTCTGTCCTATTTTGTTGATAAATCAAGAAATCGAATTCTACATAATGTGCTGGTATATATGAGGAGGGAGTGATATAGCTGCACACAAAGATGCATCTCAGCACAAGATGCAGGAAAATATTTAGCAGACACCGAGGACAATATGTCTTAGGAAGGTTCATATAAATAAGAAAAAATATGGGGCTGGAAAGATCGCTTAGGGGATAAGAATATTACTGTTTGCAAGAACTCCAGCTCCTGAGAATCGTATGACTCTGTTCCTTGAGCAACTGAATTCATGTGCACCTACTTCCCCCAATTCACACACATATAGAAATCTTGATGGTTCTCTGGGAGTTGAATTCCGGGTTCTAAACTGCTTAGAAATAGTTTGGCCTCCTCGGTGTTCCGAAGGGATTAAGTTCCTCCTCTGCTCCTCCCCTCCCCTCCCCCACACCGCGCAGGTCCATCCCTGTGCTGTTCGTCTTTGGAAGAAAGCAATGCTCAGCTTCTGGGACTGGAACCGGGCCTTTGGCTGCTCAAACTGTTCATCTCATTTGCTGAATGGCTCTACTGTTTGCCAGGCAATAGCGGGAGGGCATATTCTAGGACTGAGGTTTTCTCTTGCTCTCTTTTAGTCAAACTTAACTGTGAGCAGAGGTGTGGTGGTAACACATGGACTTTCAAAACGGCTACCACCGCTATTTCACCTTAACGGATTCCCTGCGCTCCCTGCCCTCATCTCCCCTTCCTCAGGTAAGGCTAGCAAGCCGGTGCAACTACAAATCCTTAGCAGGCAGCCCTCCTTCCAAAGTCTGTGCAGATTGTCACTCTTACTGCATCCTGGGAAATGTAATTTAATCACCAATCAGAAGCCGGAATCAGGTTAGTAACAGGGAAGAAACCCCGCCTTTCATTGGCTCCTCCTTCTCTATGACCCCTCCCAGGTTGCTTAGGAGACGAGAGACGCAGAATCTTGGTCCTTGTTACGCAGAACTGCACCGGCGCTGAGGGAAGTTCAGTCTGTTCTCAACTCGGGCAGGCAGGCGCAGGTATGGGGACGTTCAAGAGCACCTGTCAGGAGTGTTTCGACTGTAAAGAGCAGTGGTATGAGATTGGACCCACGGACTTGCTGGAGCGCAAAGGTTCCCTAACCCTCCGCTCTCATCACAAGAAATACTCAAAGCCAGTGCTGGTGTATTCCTGGTGAGCCAAACATTCGCCTCTGTCCAGGGGTCCTAGGGAGGGAGGAGAGAAGGATCTGGCAGGAGGTGGACGAAAAGTAACAGAGAAACAGGAAAAAATAGGGGAGAAGAGAGAATGGGAAAGAGGAGAAGAAAATCAGGACAGGAGTGTGAAGAGATAAGAAAGATGAACAAGAGAAAAGTGGTACAGAGAAGGGAGGGGAAACAGACCTTCCACAGAGCAGTGACCATATCAAAGCGAGCTAAAACCCTCCAGGACTGCTCCCCAGCACACACCAGGACCTGCCCCAGTCAGTACTTGGGCTAAGAGAGAGTTTAGTTGTCTGTCTACACAGTGGAAAGGAATGAGAGTCATTTAATAGGCTTGAAAATTGCCCCCTTGACACAATGCTTATGTGTAAAGGGAAGTCCTATTAGAAAGTCAGGCTCACTGGCAAGAGGCAAAGGTTCCTGCAAGGACCTGTGCGGCCAGTGGTTGGGGGAGGTGGACATACTTGAGAGCAGCCCCTTAGCAACCCACAGGTTATCATTCATGAAGACACTTCCAGCCAGAGGTAGCAACGTTTAGTCTTTCCTTGGGTAAGGCAACTGTAACTTGGCATATACAGTGCTTTTCTTTTTCTTACTTGATCACGCTTAGTTCACATAAAGATACAGGGTTGTGTGTTCTCCCAGAAAACTGAAAGGCCTGGAGAACTTCCTTTTAAGTCCATCATCTTCTGAAGATGGGGATCTCAAGACTCCAAGCATTTGGCCTTCTTCTGTGCTTTGGGAATTATGCACAGACTAATGAATATCTCTGTCTCTGTCTCTCTTTCTTCCTCCTCATTAAAGTACCCAATAGCTATAATGTCAGCACTGGAGAAAGGTAAATTCGTTTTTTTTTGGGGGTGTGTGTGGACGTTTGAATGTAATTGGACCCTATAGGGAGTGGCACTATTAGGTGTGGCTTTCCTGTAGTAGAGTTGGTTTGGCCTTTTTGGAGGAAGTGTGTCACTGTGTGTGTGGGGGCTTTGAGGTTCATTTGCTCAAGCTTCACTCAGGGTGACACTCAGTTGACTTCCTGTTGCCTGTAAGATGTAGAACTCTCAGCTACCTATTCAGCATCATGGCTGCCAGTATGCCACCATGTCACCATGTCCCACCATGATGATAACAGACTGAACCTCTGAACTGTCTGTTCACAGCAACTGAACCCTAACTAAGATGGGGTGCTTAGTCAAGTCTCTTAACAGTAATTACTTTTGGGATATTTGTAATATTGGAGGGACGTGGGAAGACAGACATGGAAAGGGGTCACAGATACTGTCTACTTGATGCTTTTGCCTTTGAAGAGAGACGAATGGTTTTGACTCTAGGCCTGGGTGGACACAACCATGCCTGCACTGTTTGCGATGCCTGCCATTTCTGTTCTGCAGACTCTTTGAAGGCCTGTCTACTCACTACATTTCCAAAGCCCACTCCTTCTTCTTTTATTTCTCATTCCAAACTATACTCTCTGCCTACACGAAACTCAGTGTGAGAGATTCTATAGGCACAAAATCGAAAGCTACCCAGGGAAACAGTCTCTTTTTCAACAATCGTTTCTTATGGAAACAGACTTCTTCACATTGGTAGCATACTTGCTTATGACAGGGGTGGAGTCCTAAGTACTGTCTTTTGGCTTTGCACATATCTTACTTCATGAGCCGTAAGCAAAACACTTAGCTCTTCCATAGACCTGTTACACCACAAGGATCTGGATCATAATAGACATCGCTTCTGTGAGTTATTGATGAGAAAGGGTTTTCAATAAGACAGAACTTCTGCTGCCTTCTGCATTACTGTTGCCTTGAAGTTAGCTTGCAAGCAGCGTGGATATCAATAGCAGAGCAGAGATGTGAAAGGTGTGGGGCTTGTTGAGAAAGAAGCCCAGGGGAGGACTCTACGCACCCCAGCCATTCCTGAGCATGCAAAGAGCATTCCTGTGTTCTCAAGGGAGAAGAATTAAAGTCAACTCAGCGAGTATGAATGTGTCATACGCTCTGCTACACATCAGGATGCAGAAAGGGAGACAAAGATCATTGAGATAATTTTTGCAAAGCACGTTGTCCTCCTTAGGGTTTCTATTGCTAAGAGGAAAAACTATGACCAAAGAAACTCGGGGGAGGAAAGGGTTATTTGGCTTATACCTCCACATTCTGTATCTCCATCACTGAAAGAAGTCAGGACAGGAACTCCAAAAGAGCAGGATCCTGGAGGCAGGAACTGATGTAGAGGCCACGGAGGAGTGCTCTTACTGAATCGCTCCTCATGGCTGCTCAGGACGCTTTCTTGTAGAACCCAGAACCACCAGCCTAAGGATGGCACCACCCACAATGGACTGGGCCCTCCCACACCAATCACTAATTAAGAAAATGCCCTACAGGCTTGTGTACAGCCTGATCTTAGGGAGGCGGTTCTCAATGGAGACTCCTTCCTCTCTGAGTATTATACCTTGTGTCAAGTTGACCTAAAATTAGCCAGTACACATGTATGTCTAGAACAGAATAATCAACACTATGTATTATATCACAAGAAAAAAATCGTTAGATGAACTTGGGCTCTAGATTTTAATGACAGCCCTGTGGCTAGGTGACAAGTGATTTGATGGCTCTAGGACTAATTCCGCCATTGTAGAATAGTAGTTTTAGGATTGTTGTATGAGCATAGTAGGTGAAACACCCATGAATATTAAACCTGGCATACAGTTAGCATAAAATTATATATATTAGGACATGGTTGGTGTTCTCAATGGATTTTACAGGCTAGTGCAGGACTTCCTGTGATTTTTTTTGTGTGTGTATAAATTGACCTACTTGGTGATGATTATTTATGAATCAGAATCGTACTTGAGACAGCCCTCCCATCACGTTCACATGCGCAGAGGCCAAACGGTTCAGTGTTTCTTCCCAATGTGTATGTTTCACAATTGTTAAGGTGAAATAAGGCAAAACACTGCCTTCTTTTTCTTCTCACAGATGTCGGTCTTGTGGTCTGTTTTACGCTACCTTGTCTCTTCTGCATCTCTGTGCTTTCTGTTGATGTTATTGCTAGCATGCCCACAGATACCAGCATGAAGGGCTGCCTGGTGTCTCTAAGCATGAGAAGGTTGTGTGTGATGGATCTTTTGAAGAAAACATGTGTTAGACAAGTTTTGCTGGTGTGTAAGCTCTAGTGTTGTTGGTGGCAAGTTCAATATTGACGAAGCACCCACACATATCAAATAAGATGCCTTTAAACAGGTGGGCAAAGGGGCTTGGGATGTAAGTTAGTAGTAAAGTGCTTGTCTTGTAAGTGGGAGGCCCTAGCCTCCATCCTTCAAGTCCAAGAAAACAAATAGGAACACATATAAAAAAAGGCTATACGTTGTGACCGGGAGGCCACAGAAACCAGAGCCTGTTTTCTCTGTGAGAGATGTCCGAGTGTTTTGAGACCTCTTTAGAGCATGCACTATGAGACTCTTCTGTAAAAACTCAAAAAAAAAAGTAGCATCTTCTGAAACTGGCCACACCCTGCTGCCTTTTCACAAAACCAGCCTGACATTTAATATCTAGGCTAGCTAGGCAGCATAATGTTGAGTGTATACTTACGAATGAACAAGGTCAGCAAACCCATGATGGTTAGCTTTTGATTGCCTTACTTTATGACACATTTAAACTTTCCTTAAACTATATTTAGTAGTGGTTTTTAAGTTCCATTGTTAAACATCTAAGGTCTATGTTTACCGGTTCAGCGACCTCTCTCCATAGAGTATTTCATCAGGAACCTTTAATACTTGCAAGTACAAATGAAGTGTGTAACTAGGAGAAATTCTGATGAACTCTTCATTGCTGTCTAAACTTGGATTTTTCCTGCAGCTCTCTCTGGCATGTCATAGAAGTCTGCTTGACCTCCCTGAACATGTATGGGAGATACAGTAAAGGCTGGGAGCGGATGGGTACCTCCAGTCCATTGTTAGCCCATGACACTGCCCAACAGCGCCTCCTCGCAGCTAGAGTGCTCATAGATAGAGCCTCCTTGTCCCAGCCTGCTGTTTCTGAGTTAGAAATGCCTTCTCTGGAAGCCACCTTTTTTCATTCCTTTCAGTAGATTTATGGAACCGTATCGTAAGATGTTTCCATTAGACATTGTGAGCTGAGGGGAAATTACATTCTGGAATCTCTTCCCGCTCGTTGGGAAAATAAGCAACAGAAGAAAATTATACTTGCTTTTAATAAATTCTCTCATGTGAGATGAGTATGTTCATTCATTCATTCATTCATTTTCTTCTGTTCCTTGACCAAATTGACAATTTGTAACAAATGATAATAATTTAAGGGGAAAAAAATTCATCCAGATCTCCATGGAGACAGATCTTGCTCCCGTTTCCATGGCAATATCTAGTTTTAAGGACTCAGATTAATTTTATGCATTTGTAATTTTAATTGTTTTTCTTTCTTGCCTAAACCACAGACTAAAGATCCCGAGAGTTACACTTACCCCATGTCATGCCCCTACCTCATAATAAGAAGAAAATGAGAAAGGGGAGGAGGGGAACATCCTCGTTTTAAAGACTTTTTTTTTCTTTTCTTTTCTTTTTTTTTTTTTTTTTACCAAAGCTAATTTGGGCATAGATAATAAATTAGAGGTAACAGGAAAATTTCTCTGACACTCTGAACCGTTTGTACCACTCTGTTCCTGGAGCAGGAGTGCCTGTGTACGTAAGGCCCTGCCCTGAAGGTAGAGAGCCATTCCAAAGCACCAGGCCATGATTGTGTGCTTAAATAGAAATCAGAATGCCCGGATCCCTTCATTTAATGTGCCGCCCTTTTTGTGTTTAATCAGTGATGTCCATGGGTGCTGACCTGGAAGAGTTTAGAGTCCTCACAGCACTCAGAGCCAAACCAGAGTTACATAAAGCTCTGCTGACCAACAGTCTCCCACCATTGCATTTCCGTAACACATGAGGATAAAAAGCAGAGAGAAAAAGCCCTTCCTAAC